CCCCAGTGGTGGCCAGTCCCCAAGTGGGGTCACGGGCCCCAGAGTGGCAGAGGCTGGCCAGGCCCTGATGGGGGTCACAGGCCCTGGCGGTGGCCAGGCCCAGGGAGGGTCACGGGCCCCGGGGGGGTTCACAGGCCCCAGGGGTGTCAGGGGGTGGCCAGGCCCTGATGGGGGTCACAGGTCCTGGTGACAGCGGCCCTGGGGGTGTCCAGGTGCCGGGGGTCTCCAGGCCCCCCCTGTGCAGCCCCGTGTGAGGGGTCCTGGCCTTTCCCTCTTGGTAAAGTCCCAGCGTGTCCCACGACGGAGGGGTGGCCCGCGGGGCCAGACCTGCCTCACGGGCAGTGACACGGGCGAGTGCCATGCTGGACAGGGGAGCCCACAGCGATCCCCTCTCCCCCGGGGCTGGCGGGACCGGTGGCAGGATGGAGGCGCTGGGGGCTGTCCCCTGCACCAAAGCGCCTGCATGCCTGGTTCGGGGTAGCTCTGGCAGCGGGGCTGTTCGGCATCCCGTGTGCCATGACTCACGCACGTCTCACCGGGCCGCGTGGCTCAGGGCTGCCCATGGCTGGCGTGGGTCCGCAGAAATCATCCGGTGACTCACGCACTCCCTCCCTGTGGAAAATGGCTGTCACAGGGCTGAGATCACCTTGGAAGGCGTCCGTCACCGTTCGGCAGCAGCGGTGAGAGGTGGAGGGACAGACTGACAAAGCAGTCCTTCCTCCCACCGGGCTGCTGGCTAAAATTCGAGGTGTTTCTGTGGGTAGGAGGGTGACGGGGCACAGGGAGGCTTCGTGCGGCTTTACCCAACACCTCGGCTGGGTCGGGCACGGCAAAGGGGGCGGCGTTTGTGTCTGTTGGCAGCTGCCTGCGCGTCCAGGTGAGTCAGAGCATCCACCTCTGACACCGCTGCTGGGCCGGGAGCCCTCGGGGCGCGGCACAACGCCTGGACGGGCTGCGATTCCGCTGCCTCTGCAGATTTCTGTCTGCAGGACGTGCGGAGGGTCTTTGTGCGGCGGGCCTGTTCATCAGACAGCTCCCGCTGGCGGTGATCAACCTGTGTCCGCATCGCGACGCTCCCTTGCCGTGGTGAGGCAGGCGGTTTTTTATCAAAAGCCCCTTTTCGTTCAAGTGTCCCTTCCATGCCGGGCCCGCAGCTGGTTTTTCTAACACCCCTGAAATTTAACACTATCTCTAAAAAGTCACCACCATGTTCCAAAATGTAAAACATTTTATTAAAAAAATAATTTACTGCATCTTATATACAAACCGCAAGAATGTTCACTTATAAAATACTGACATTTAACTTGTTGCAGAAGCTGCAGGCAGGAGGAGCAAGCTTTCCAGGTGTGCTACGCGTGCACCTGGCTGTAACTCTGGGGAGGGACGCTTGGTTCTGCCATGAAACCACCTCTGTTTGCCTCTGCAGCATTCGCAGCTTGGGGGTCACTTATTGTCGCACAAACGAGGTAAACCCACAGCCCAAGGTGATGTGCAACAGGTTTAGGCACTCTTAGGTAACCCATTGCTCCGTGAGCAGTTCTGTTGTGTTTCATGGCATTACAGAGAAAAGGTACAATCTAAGAAAAGGAAGGAGGGGTGAATCTGCACTCCTGTAAGATTTACTACTCTGGCTTTTTCCCTTGTGGTGCCCAAGGAAGATCCTTCATCAATATTTCTAAGATTTCAAGCACAATAGACAGACCAAGACTTCACCCAGACCTAATTCCGTAATGTTTGCGCTCGGTAAGCGATCCCGCTGAAAACATGTTACTCAGCGTGCCTAAACACTGCAGAACCAGGCTGTTAGCTCAGGACAAACCTCATCTCTTGGAGTTAACAGCAAAAGGCACATTGATTTCAACGGGACCGAGGATTCATTGAGTGAAAACCGGGACTGGGCTCTAACCCGACCTGCTCTGTGGTCTGTTCGCAGGCGGCTGAGCAGCTCCGGCTACACAACAGGGAAAGAAACCCGTCACCCACACATGCGCTACCTGAAACGGAGACGGGCACGGGCAGAGCAGGAGCTGCTGTAAACATCTGCTGAGCCGGAGCCGCTTCTCCGTGCGCTCTGCTGCAGCCTGGCTGAATCCTCCGGCCTCAGCCCTCCTGAAATGCGCAGCTCCCCGCGGAGTCCAGAGCGCCTGTCTGGCTCCATCCCCCTCCTCGGTTTGCTTTCCCGCCCGGTGAGGCATGGGGAGCATCCACGGGGCCGGCAGCCAAGCGCGGCCACTCAGCACGCCATGCGTGCCGTGGGAGCCAGCTGCCTGCCGGTTATTTCGTACAGCATTTCCGCAATGAGCTCGACGATGTCCGCGTCGCCGATGATGGGTCGGAAGAAGAGATCCGTGATGAGGGCAGGAGGGATCGATTTTAAGGTGGAGGCGATCAGCAAAATGTGGGCAAAACGGCCCTGGTCCTCGGGGTGCAGGGGCTGCAGGACCTCCTGAAGCGCTCTCTGGGCTTCTCGCTGCAGGCTCTCGATGTACAGGGAGGCCCTCAGCCCAGGGACATCTGCCGAGGGAGAGGAGGAAAAGCCGGTGATGAGGGAGGCTGGAAAACAGCCCCGGGTTTCTCCCATTCCCACCCTTCCCCTTCCCCATCTCTCAGAAAGGATCTCCGAGGCCACGCTAACGAGATGTACGCAGCGCTACTGAGATGTAGCGATTTCAGGGCTGCTGTTTTGAGGGAGCAAAAGCAGTCAACTGGGCAAACTCATCATTTACAAATTAAATCCTGGGGTCCTTTATTGTCTGCAGGGCAGGCAAGGGTCTCTGGCTTTTACCACCATGTTTGACATCCCTCCTCCCTGCTTCCCAGTGCATTTTGTAACGATCGGCGTTAAGGATAAGGAAGCCATCCCTCCCCGCTGCCGTGCCTGCCCGCGCTCTGAACAAGCCAAGAGGCGCACGTTCAGATGCTAACGTGTGTGGGATGTGCTCTCCTGCCGGCAGGCAGAGCCGCCAGCGCTGGGCGCTCACCGGGATTGAAGAGAACGGCTCCCTTCAGGTAGGCGTACTCCTTGGGGCTCAGGTCCAGGCTCCAGAAGGTGTTCAGGCAGCACTGCAGCCGCTGCACGGCAGCCAGCGTGGGCTGCGTCCGCTCGGGCTCCTGGCGTTTGCTTTGGCCATTGAGGAGGATCTTCTTGAGCATGCTGGGGGCTGGGGTCTCCATCACCTCAAAGGTCACCATCTCCTGGACCAGCCCCAGGAGGAAGAGGGGAACCCAGCAGCTGTCCAGCAGCAGGAGCTGATCCTCTCGCGGCAGCAGGTGGAAGGAAGGGAGGTTTTTCATGAAGCTGATGGTTTTTACCAGCACGTTGGAGGCCGCCTGGCAGGTGACGTGGGGTGTGCGGAGGCAGACGGTCCGGCGCTGGTGGCAGAGGCAGCGCTGGTGGGCTGGGCTGCGGCCGCCCCGGCTGTGGTGGAGGTTCTGGCTGAGGAGGGTGTAGAGGATGGCGGTGCGCTTGTCCTCGCCGTGGCACTGGCACCTCTCACAGTCCACGGCCACGCTGCTGCTGGTCATGGCTGAGCCAGGCAGCCGGATCCTCGGCAAAAATCAGCTCCTGCTGCAGCAGATGGGAGAGAGATTAAAGTCCTTCCCAAACCCGCCGTCACAGGCTGGATTCTCCCCGTCCTCTCAGCTCTGCCAGCCCACGGCTGCTCAAACCAGCTCTTATAAGGCTGGGTCACCAGTGAAACACCCCTCCACAGCCTTGACCGCTCTGTGATTAAGCGGTCCTCATTAAAAAAAAAAACAGCTGTCCCTGGCCTGATTGGCTGGGGCAAACCAGTTCTCCACACGGCATCAACAGCCGTTTTCTCAATGAAGCACCGGCGGCACAGGGAGGGGGACGGCAGGTTGGGTGCCCTTATCGCGATTACCCAAACAGGATAAACAAAGCCATTAACCCAGCCTGTACCATGGCGCCAAGGCCCCGTGCTGTCATCGGGCAGCGCTGTGTGGCAGGTGCCACTGCCAGCGGGTTCACACACACACAGGGCGCTCGGCTGGTCCCTGAGTTCAACGGCCTTGGAAAGAGCAACCTGGAAGTCGTTTTATCAGCGGCTGTTTGCTTAACCTTGCTGACAGGAGCAAGGTGTTGTTACGGTCAAGGAACCTGGTGAGCTGACGGACTGCAGTGTTCAGTCCTAGGCAGGGCCCATCGGTTCGTGTCTCTCAGAGGAAACGCAGGGCAGGGGAAGGGCAAATTCTCAGATTTTCACCTTAAATTACCAGGTATTTTTATCTGTTGACCGGCAGAAATTGAGACAGGAATTAGAATCGTGGAAGCGCTCGGGGTGGAAAAGGCTGTTAGGGTGATGGTGTCCCGCCACTGACCTGGCGCTGCCAGGGCCGCCCCTCGCCCGTGTCCCCACACACCGCATCCACCGGCTTTTAAACACCCCCGCGGGGCTCAGCCCCTGCTCTGGGCAGCCCGGGCCGGCGCCTGGCAGCCCTTCGGGTGAAGGAGCTCTTCCCAGCATCCAACCCAACCCTGCCCTGGCGCAGCGGGCTCCCCTCAGCCTCCTCTTCTCCAGGCTGAGCCCCCCCAGCTCCCCCAGCCGCTCCTCCCCAGCCTTGGGCTCCAGCCCCTGCCCCAGCCTCGCTGCCCTGCTCTGGCCACGCTCCAGCCCCTCCATGGCCGCCTTGGGGTGAGGGGCCCAGCGCTGAGCACAGCATTCGAGGGGCGGCCTCACCAGTGCCGAGCGCAGGGGACGATCGCTGCCCTGGTCCCGCTGCCCGCGCTGCCGCCCTCTGCCCTTTGACCTCTGACCCCCGGGGTCACCGGCCGCCGCCGAGCTTTCTGGAAAGGCGCGGACAGGCCGTCGCTATAGCAACCGAACCCCGCGCCTCGCGTCCCGCCTCCCCCCGACGGATTGGACGAGGACACAACCAATCCTCGAGGAGAGCGACGAGGACGGGGCGCTGGGATTGGTGGGTGAGAAGGCGTGCGCGTGCTTCCGTTAGCGCCGCTTCCGGTTCCGGGTGCCGGCGTGAGGGGTTGAGGCGGGCGGCGCGGCGGTGGGCAGGATGGGGCTGAGCGCGGAGGAGGCGGCGGAGCAGGAGGACCGCTTCGACGGCATGCTCCTCGCCATGGCCCAGCAGCACCAGGGCGGCGTGCGCGAGGTAGCGCCGCCGGGCCCAGGCGCGGGATGGGGCGGCGGAAGCTTTTCCGTGTTCCCGGGGTGGGGGCTAGGTGGGCTCGGGAGGAGCGAGCGGAGGTGGGGGCGGCCCGGCCCTCCCCGGGGCCCGGCCCTCCCCGGGCGGTGCACGGGAGGTCCCTGTCCTGCCCCCTCGCTCCGGGAGCGGCGAGAGCGGCCCAGGCCTGCGCCAGCCCCGGGGAGCGCGGCGGACGCGCTAATTAATCAGTGCTACGCTAACGAGGGGCCGAGGAGCTCCGGCCTGCGCCCGCACCGCGGCCCTGCACCCCGGCTCCTGCCACCGCCGGCCCTGCCCTGTGCGGGGCCCTGTGCTCGGTCCGGCCGACGCCGCTGCCCCGCCGGGGGTTTGGGTGGGCGCAGGCAGCGCCTGGGCCGGGGCACAACGAAGCGAGGCACCGCGGGGGGATTGAGTCCCTCTGTCCCGCTTTCCCAGCCCAACCACCTGGTAGCGGCCCCTGAGACCTGACAGGAACTCGAATTTGTTGGTTGACAGCCAGCTGGATGTGAGCCAGCAGTGTGCCCAGGTGGCCAAGAGGGCCAATGGCATCCTGGCTTGTATCAGGACTAGTGTGGCCAGCAGGACCAGGGCAGGGATCATCCCCCTGTGCTGGGCACCGGTGAGGCCGCCCCTCGAATGCTGTGCTCAGCGCTGGGCCCCTCACCCCAAGAAGGCCATGGAAGGGCTGGAGCGTGGCCAGAGCAGGGCAGCGAGGCTGGGGCAGGGGCTGGAGCACAAGGCTGGGGGGGCTCAGCCTGGAGAAGAGGAGGCTGAGGGGAGCCCTCATCGCTCTCTGTGACTGCCTGAAAGGAGGCTGGAGCCGGGGGGGGGTCGGTCCCCTCTCCCCAGTAACAAGCGCTGGGACGAGAGGGAACGGCCTCCAGCTGCGCCAGGGCAGGGTTGGGTTGGATGCTGGGAAGAGCTCCTTCACCCGAAGGGCTGCCAGGCGCCGGCCCGGGCTGCCCAGGGCGGGGGCTGAGCCCCGCGGGGGTGTTTAAAAGCCGGTGGATGCGGTGCGTGGGGACACGGGCGAGGGGCGGCCTGGGTCAGGGACGGGACTCGATGATCTTAAAGATCTCTTCCAACCTAAATGCACCCATGACTCTATGAACATGGTTCCCCTCCTCGTGGTCAGGGCTCTGCTGACACACCTCGTACTTCCCACCATGCTGACTCCTGCTGGGGGCTCTGAGGGTCCCAGTGCTGGCCTGCAGGAGGGCTGGAGAGTGTGGCAACATCAACACACACAGTTTGGGAAAATGGTGCTGATAACAGCTTCTCGTGCTGCAGTGAAACCTCTGGTTGGAATCCTGACGGGACAGAATTCCTGGGAAATAAAGACAATCCAAGTCCACTGAGAGCATGGATTTCCATAGGGGTGTTTTGGGGATGCCAGCTCATAACTGCTAATTCATCAGCAATATCTGGCTGGCAGCTAGTAGTTATTTTGTAAAAATAAACAGGATATGGAGGAGGGTGAATTTGCACACTTGGAGGGTTTAGGCATGCAAAGAAGCAAAATATGGGATGTGTGTATAGCTGTATACATACGTGTATGCATGCATGTATACATATATACCCACCCAAATTCCCGCCTCAGATAACAGCTTGGGAGATCAGAGTGGGCGTGCCTCCAAGGTGATCTGAGAATAAACTGCTTGCCCTTTCTTGGTGTAAACCACACAAATGGCCCTTCTGAAAACTGGGAATCCAGGAGCTGGATCTCCACAAAAAACACAGGGCATTTTCTCTGGGAAACGGTCATGGGGCTGATTCCAGCATGATCCTGGCACAGGCACAGATAGGGAGTACAAAGAATAAAGGCTGCTCAAGAGATACGAAGTGGTTTGGAGTGATCTGGTCTCATTGCTCTTTTTTTCTCTCCACCCCCCTCCCTGTTTCCTCTACCAGCTTGTGAACACGTTCTTTAGTTTCCTGAGGCGTAAAACAGATTTCTTCACCGGTGGAGAAGACGGAGTAGCAGAGAAGGTAAAAAACCAAAATCCTCAAGCTTTTATGTCTTCTAACTTATGTGCCACCCATGTCTGTGCCATGCTAAGACTTCCCTGCCTGAACAGCTCAAAGCATTGCGGTGCACTTGGGGACTAGCAGCCCGTGATGCTGATGAAACACATCCCTGAAACAAGGTAATAACGAGCTGGCCCTATCTGATGTGAGGCACACATGATTGCTTGTTCGAATGGCACTGATGGGGCAGGTTTTTTTGCCACGCTGTGGCCAAAGGCTTGTTTGGAAAGCAAATCTGCCAGACTGACTTAACGGTGACGGACACCGCGGTGTTGATAACCCCGGGTTACCTTGTTTGTTCATCGCAGAAAAAGCCCAAAGTCCACATCTCTGCACATGCGGCTGCACCTTTGTCTCAGGGCTGCGGTACCTGTGCGGAGTATTTGCTGGGGAGCAAGGCTGGGGGGGCGGGCGGCCTCACTGGCAGCCTGAGCATCTCCTCTCTGGCAGGTGTTCCTCCCCCAGCTCGAGAGCTGAAGAACTGAATTGTTTCACTGTGGCAATAAGA